TAACCAAGACGTAATTGCAACTCAGCTCGCTGCCATGCAACAGCAGTTTGGTGTCTTTCAGCAAGTGCTGGCTCAGTTGTTAGCCCGGAACAATCCTGGTGATCCACTCATCAATCTACTTAACCCTGCCCCACCACCAAATCCTGAACCAGTTCAACATGCTCCCGCTGTTAGTGAATCTCAGGGCCAATCTCACATCGCACCAGTCATGCAACCCCCTCGTGATGAGGTCAATCGGCGTTTAGATAGCTTAGAAAAGCTAGTGGTCGAACAGCGAGGTATTCCACCTCCACACCCCGCTGCTGACTCCGTACCTCACCCTCTCAACACCAATATTATACTGGAACCCTATCCAGCGGGTTTCAGAATACCACAGCTTGAAACCTACGATGGGACGAAGGACCCCGATGATCATCTACATGCTTTCTACTCTTGCATGCAGGCCCAGAACGCCTCTGATGCGTTGATGTGCAAAATCTTTCCCTCCACTCTCCGAGGTAACGCTCGAACCTGGTATTACAGCCTGCCTCCGAGATCAATCAACTCGTATACAGAACTATCATCCGCTTTTGCCACTAAGTTTTCCAGTAGAAGGTTGATAAGGAAAACCACTTCCGAGCTGATGCGAGTCAAGCAGAGGGATGGAGAATCTCTGAAGAATTTTATGAGCAGGTTCAATGATGCAGTGCTAAAGGTTAACTCTTTCGATCAAGCAGTGGGCATCACAGTTGTGATCTCAGGTCTTGGCCATGAAAGATTCAGAGAAAGTCTGCTCAAACATCCCGCCACCACCTTCAGTGAGGTCAATGATAGATTATTGAAATTCATAACTGCTGAGGAATATGTCCTGTCGCAGAACATCACCCCTGTTAAGAATCAACACCCGGACTGGAGAGATGAGAACCCGAACAGGAAACGAATGAAGACACCACAGAACCGAGGTCCAATGTCGACTTCCACCCTGCGACTCGGAAGGCCGAACTCAGCACCTCCGCAGCAACCTGCAGGTAAACCTCCAGTTAATTGGACTCCTTTTAATTTACCGAGGTCACAAATCTTCATGCAGATTAAGAATAAAATGGACTTACGACGTCTGGGTCCAATGAGAACTGCTGCTGCTACCAGAGACCATACACGGTATTGTGATTTTCATCAAGATCACGGTCACACAACAGAGCAATGCAATAGTCTGAGGTCCGAACTGGAAAGCCTGGCGCAGAAAGGAATGCTGAATGAGTACATCCAGAGAGTTGAGCAGCCACGATTTGTCAGGGAACAAGGAACACAGCATCAAGGAGTCCGCAATCCCCCAAACAGGCAAGGTGTGGGATATCAGCAGGCCCCACCACCACTCCCACCACCAGCTAGAGTCATACACATGATTACGGGAGGTCTGGAAGCAGGTGGACTGAGCTCTAAGCAGAGGAAGTTGTATGTCAGGGAGGTTAAGCACCAGAACCGGGCTCAGAAGCGAAAATTTGACGATGCTGAGTGGAAGAATCAACCCATCACTTTCACATCTGCTGATCTTGAAACAGTTGTCACACCTCACAATGATCCTCTAGTTACTTCTGTCACGATCAACAATTGTGAAGTGCAACGTGTCCTTGTTGACACCGGAAGTGCACCAGACATCATGTACTTCCATTGTTTTGAGAGTCTTGGGATAGATCCAGCTCTGTTGCAGAGGTATGATGGTCCCATCTACGGGTTCAACAACCAACCAGTTCCAGTCGAGGGAGTACTTACCATGAATGTTGCATTTGTGAGTGGCCGAAGTTATGTGACCCCTACAGTGAGGTTTTTAGTGGTCAAAATGGCGTCTTCTTTCAACGTTGTTATTGGCCGACCTACACTAACTGAGATTCGAGCCGTGGTTTCCCAGTCTCATCTGTGCATGAAATTCCCAACTCCTATGGGAATAGCAACACTGCGAGGCAACCAGGAGGTAGCCCGGCATTGCTATATCACCTCGATAACACAGCCTCAGAAGGGCAAGACTCAGACACCCGAGATTAATCCCAAACAGATACCTGATGATCGGCAAGTTATGGGTGTCGAAATAGTAGATAACCGACCTGAAGATGAAACCAGAGCTGCTCCGGTTGAAGATGTGGAGGAGGTACAGATTGATGACAGAGATCCGAGCAGAAAAACGCAAATTGGGACTAAATTGAACTCGGAGGAAAGAGCAGAGTTAATAGCTTTTCTTCGGGCCAATAACGATGTTTTTGCATGGACTTCAGCAGATATGCCAGGAATCCCCATTTCAGTTTTTCAACATAAACTCAGCACCAATCCCCTCAAGAAACCAGTAGTCCAGAAGCGACGTCTCTTCGGGGGGGGGAGGCTAAAGGTTATTAAAGAAGAAGTCGAGAAACTCTTACAAGCCGGCTTTGTCAGGAGGGTAGATTACTGTGAGTGGGTCGCCAATCCGGTGTTGGTGAAGAAAGCAAATGGTAAATGGCGGATGTGCATCGATTA